ATGGTGCTATTTCCCTTAGTACAGTGGGAACATTACCTAATAAATGGAATTGAGAATCCAAGTGTTATAAAACCTGAGCTAAAAGGATTTCCATTCATCAAGCTGTTTTAGGAGCACGACTCCCAAAAAGCAGCCATTCTCCACCGACCGTTCCCTGGGTCTGTGACATACAACACAGAAATGGACAAAATGATGTATGCTCTTCCCAGACCCCCTCATTCCATCGCGGATGCCTTAACAGCCTAATGGGATTTTCAGAGAGTCAACACCACAGACTCATAGGGGAAAACACGCCCATTCAAAATTAACCATTTTAATTGTTTAAAAATCAGGAAAAGAAGGAAAAAAAAAAAGAAAAATGCCCCCATCTGCCTAGCTAGGGCTTGTAAATCAATGCCAATAGCTTGAAAATAGATTTCTCAAACTTATATTCTCATTTTGTCCTGCTCGAATCTCTGTAAGAAAATCAATATTACAACTTCACACTTAAGACATTTTGCAGCAAGGCAAACTGCGTTGTCGGCTGCTGATGGAAGCCCGTTCCTGGCCCATTGTAGCGAAGGCGCCAAGCCATGACACGGGCACCGAGCTCCCCCTAGCTGCCAAGTGGCACCAGGCGCGGCTCGGCGTTTCAGGCTTGCCATCAACCCAAAGCCAATTCAACTGAAAGTTTATTTTGGAAAGTATTTTATCACAACAAGCAACAGAGAATGCAAAGCGATCAGGGAAGGAGATGGAAAGGAAAAAGGGAAGGCCTGGTGCAAGACGTGTTCTAAGCTACAAGACAGCGCCAAGAGCTCTAGCCTGATAAGGCGCTAGAAACTGGTGCTCTCTACAGTCGGAAGCGGTATCTGTAAACGAACTGTTCTGCGTGCTTCCATCTCACCTGAGACATACCGCTAATTACTGTCAGAGGCACCCAAAGCTGGTCTTTCTCTTGGGTCAGTGAGACCCGTTTGGTCCCGCACTGTGGTCAGCGGAGCGCCACACCCAGCCATCTGACCTCAGCCTCCCTCTGTGCTCCCAAGGCTGGCTTCCCCAAAGCAACTGCATTCACTCTAGTACTTGAGTAAAAGGACTCGTTTTCTTGCATGAAATATTTTGAAGGCCACGCAAAAATCGCCAAGGCCAAAAAAACAGGCAGATAGCAAGCCCCCTCCAACCAAAGCAAGAAATATGCATATGTACATAATATTCAGGGAGGGAAAGAATACCCTTTAAAAATATTAAGGGTTGTTAAAATACGCTCACGGCTGTTTTCTCTCAGGTGTGAATTACAAATGAATAAAATCAGCCTGGCATAACACCTTTGATGAACACATTTTTATTCTCCCGTGGAATCAGAGCAGCTGACTTATATCACACTTCTAATGATATGGGGTTCCCTTCTGTGCAGAAGGGAGACAAACTTCACTCCCCCCCTATAAAGACCCCCCCCTAAAAAAGAGAGCCCCACGGCTTATGAAATTTATCAGAGGCCCAATCTTGAAAGATTGTGGACAACTGGAGATACGCTATACCCCAGAGAGTTAAGGTCATTGAGAATCCAGCCGCCTCCAAAACACACAGTTATAGCAAAACCCAGTTTAAAAGGCAACCGTGAAATTAACACAGTTAGCCTAACTTCCGTGTCAAACCTTGGGTCTCTAGTTGTTTTTGCAAAATCGTGAATTCATACAGAAAATTACTGATCTTCCAAGGAAACCTGTTGGTAGGCTGTCGGAAAAAATCACCTTCGCCAGGGTTGTGTAGTTTACCATGGACATCTTATTTTCTTCCGAAAGCCTCAGAAAGCCTCAGAGCTCCTCCGTGGACTGGACTTCATTTCCCCTCCTCTCCCTGTCTGGCATTGTGGGCTCACAGCCCTTCTCTCTGTCTGGTCAGCCGCGGCCCCTCTTCTTCCCTCATTATTGTCACTGTGTTGTTTTGTGTTTGTTTTTATTAATAGCTGTGTCTGTCCTCCGCTTCTAAAAGCCATATCCATCTGGGTCAAACATCTTGAAACAAACCAGAAGCCCAGGTTTTCATCCCCAGCTGTCTCCCACCCTGTTTCATACTTTACTTCTCTTCTCTCTGGCCCTGTCTGTACATTTAAGGAGGTTCACTATAGAGCTTGTCTGCCGTCCCCCCACCACCCTGAGATTATTTGCTATTTGTGTCCTCTTCATGTTTCCCAGACCAGCAGTCATCCTAAGTTACACTGTCTCTACAGAACCAGGGGGCTGCCACCCTACTGAAGATGTACCACATTGGGGGAGGGGGGGTAGTTTCCTTCACATTTAAAATGTAGAATGTGAAGCTCCCCCCAACCCCCTGGGTCAGGGCTGTGACAGCACTGGCCTTGCTGGCCAGGGCTCCAGAGCACCCTAAACCCACGACTCCTGCATCACTGTGGAGAGGCACTTCCACAGGCCATGCAGCCTAAACTGCATCCAATTCTTGCCATTCCCCTGCCTGCACTCCCACCTCCCGGGTGACACAGGACAAACAGAAAAGCCAGCTGCTTTTTGATAATAAATAGCCTTGTCTGAAAACTGGTTGGACCACTCTCTCGGCTTGACCCCCTGCACATGCCCTGGGCTCCATGTGCCCCTGAAAGGCAGGCGAGATATCCTCTGCCCCTGCCTCTTCCTCCTCACCTCTTCTCCTTTGCCTCTCTCTTCTCCCTCCCTCCCTCCCTGCTCCAGTGGCAGCGGCTTTCCCAAGCCAGCACCGCTCTCTCTCGCTGGCTCTCGGAGCAAGGCTGAGAGAGAGGGGGAACAAATGAAGGATGGAAGGATATTGTACCAGGCACGCCTTGTCCCCCCACGAGCAGATGCCACCAGTCCTTCTGGCCAGGCAGGGCTTTCTCCTGATGTCCCAGGAATGCCAGAGGGGGAGAGGGCAAAAGCAAAGCAAACCTACCTGCTTCTTCCCCCCTTACACACAACTGCAAACACTCCTGGCTCCTTTCGCTGCTTCCAGCTTGGCAATGCAGCCCTGACAACTCCCCCTTCCCCAGCCCACCCAACTTCCCCCTCCTCAAAAACAACCCTTGCAATTATACAGAGGCTATGAGGGGCAAATTGCCTCCTAGAGAAATTAACCTCTGCAAATACAGACATTGTAACAACCAGTACACCATCTAAAGGGGGTTGGGGTGCCGGAGGGATAAGGGATGGCTTGGGCTTGCTAAAGGACGAAATGTCAACTGGCCAGAAGGACCTTGATCAAACCAGGCTGAAATCTGGTTGTAAAACATTTTGTTGCAAACGCAACCAGTGCGTCTTCTTTGAGGGTACAATGGTGAAAAATAAAAGAGAAGTTCTCTTCCCTCCCTCGGAAACCGCATCCCTCTCCCAAGGCGAACCCCACTTTAAAATCTATTCCCTTCCCCAGAAAAAAGCAATAATAAATCCACAAATTCTTACTAATGTATCTGCTGTAACAAAGGAGAGGTGGCAGCAGCAAATGCTCCGAGCAGATGGCTCCTATGCTGGGTGTTCAGGGGAGGGGAAGAGCCCCTTTATATATTTATTTATTTATTTAAATTTTTTAAAATATAACATAAATATTCGGCTCTCGGCCGCCCCGCAGCCAGTCCCCGGCTGCGGCTGGGCGCGCAGCCCTCTCCAGCTCCGCGCGGGCTGCCCGGCCCCAGCCCGACGAGGTGCTCGGAGGATTGCAAGAACACAACCTGCCCACGTCTCGATGGCACCCAGAGGATGTTTTATTTCTATTGCAATTTAAAAAAGAAAAAAAGGCAACGGCGACCTAGGCACCGCGAGAGAAAGGACCACGGGGAGATGTTCGCGCGCCGCGAAGCAGCGGCCCCGCGGGCAGCGCCGGGCAGGGAGCGCTGCGAGCCGACCTTGCCGTGCAAGTGTGCGGGGACTCGGGGCGAGCTCCCCTGCAAACACCGTACCTGGCCCGCTCGCGCTCGCTTCTTCCCTTTTCTAAATAAGCCCGACTGGGGCGCTGGAAGCTGCTGCGTCTCTGCCCCGCTGCCTGACTTTGCCTGCCGGGCCACTTGCTTGAAATCTGCACGATTTCAGCCGGTGGATTTCCACCGCGACCTGCCTTGTTTATTTAGAGAAGGAAGATGAAAGATACTGAGACAGAAAGATGGATAAGAGATTGATAGGTCTCTCTCCTTTTCTTTCTTTCTTTTTTTTTTTTTCTTTTTCCCCTCTATTTTACAAGCACATCCCCGTCTTCCTGATCCTAGCTGACAATCCTTTTTCCCGTGGCGGGGCTTTTTCACCAGCCCCCAATCCCCCCACCTTTTTTTTTTTTTTTTTTTTGGAGTGGGGGATAGAAGACAAGATCATCCCAGGAGACAGACGGAGGTGGGGAAATGGGGAGGGGGGGCCTGAGCCCAGCAAACAGCCGCGCAGCTGGATTCTTTTGCAAATAGCAGGAGGAGAGGAGAGAAAGGCGGCGGCGGAATCCTAGGACCGGCGTGGCGGGCGCCCTGCCCGGCCGGGTGCAGCGGCCGGGGACTCGGAGCCGGCGGCCGCCCTCGCCCCGCGTCTCCCCTAGGCCGGAGCGCACCCCGCTCTCCTCCGCCCGCGCCTCCAGCGCGGACCCACGCGCTCGCCAACTTTTCCCCACTTCCCGGCTCCCCCCTCCCCCTCCGCTCCCCCAGCCCCCTCCCCCTCCTCTCCAAACCCCGCCACCAGCGCCGCCGCCGCCACACACGCCGCTCGGAGGGGCGAGCGTCCAGCCGGGCTCCGCGTGCACACACACCTCCTCCAGCCTGCACGCCCCCTCCCCGGCCCGGAGCCCGCTCCGCAGGCCCTCGAGCCCGAGGCGCGTCGGACTGCGCAGCGCTTCGACTCCCGGGGCTGCAAAGAAACTTTGCTATGGCCCCCCCTGCCCCCCACCCTGCTCTGGGCCGCCGCTGCGAGCTCGCGGGCGGCCTCGGCGCTCGGCCCGGCTGCGCCAGGCTCGGTGTACCCAGCCCCGGGCACCCGGAGCCCCATCCTCCGGCCCCTGGCGCGCACGCCGCAGACACTTACGGGTGATGAGCTCCCTCTGGGACAAGTGCTGCGGGTTGCCCTGTTTGCGGCGGGACATTGCCCCGGCATCTATTCTGGCATCGCCCGGAGAGCTGCACTGATGGGGGGAGCCAGGGGAGGGGGTCCGAGCCGCCGCCGCCGCCGCCGCCGCTGCCGCTGCCGCCGCCGCCGCCGCCGCCGCCGCCGCCGCCGCGCCTCCTCGCCTCCTCCTCTGCCCGGGTTGGTGTTTTGTTTTTGTTTTTTTTTTTTCCCCCTTTCCTCTCTTGCCCTCTCTTCCTCCTCTTCTTCTTCTGTATTTTGCTCTTTCTTCAATGCTGTTTTTTGCTTTGTTTGCAAAAAGAAAAAGAGAAGAAAAAAAGGAAAGAAAAATCTCTCGATCTAAAATAGGAGAAAGAGGCCAAAAAAAAAAAAAAGAAAGAAAGAAATCTGCTGTTGCTTGCCCGCGGACTGGCTGGTTTCTTTAAAAAATATATTCTTTTGAAGGAAAAAAAAATCGCTTACACTTCTTCAAACTGCTTGGCCTCCTGGACTTCCAAATGTCTTCTTGAACTTAACCGGATTTTGCACCGGCTCCTGACACTTTCTTTCAGGGTCTGGTAGGTGGAAAGCGCACTTCTACCAGAAGGGGGGGGTGGGGGAGAAAAAAAATGAAAACAAATAAAAAATAATAATAAAAGAAGAAGAAAATGGGGGGGGAAAAGCAAAGAAAACTTGGGGACTTGTCTCGTACCCCCTCACCCCGCCCCCTCAAAAAACCCAAAGCGATGTAAAACTGCCCCGGTTCGGTTGTTTCTGGGCTTTCTGCGGGCTGCCTGCTTTTTTTCTCGGAGACTGACCCTTCCGAGGCTCTGGGGGGACTCCAGAAGCGGCTCCTTCCCAGTTCACCTGGCAGGCTGGCGCCGGCCGGAGAAGCTGCCGGGTCCCCGCGAGCGCTCCCCAGCGCTCCCCTGGCGCCGCGGGCCCGAGGGGAGCGGGGCTGCGGGGCGGCTCGCCCAGTGCGCCTGGGTCGGTGCGGGCGCGGACTGGGAGCTATAGATTGCAACGTGAAGATGGCGGAGTCCGGGTTCTCTGGGAGCTCTCGGTCTCTCTATGGCTGGGGCTGCCTCTGTACAATGGGATAAAATTCAAGTTCAAGTGCGGACGTGACGTTTAATCTGCACTAGAGACAAAAAGACCCAGAGAGTCGGAGCACTGGGGGCGACTAGCGGTGGCTTTTTAACATTGTACCCTGTAAGAGAACAAGAAAGCACACACAGAGACACACTCGCGCGCGCGCACACACACGCGCACACACACACACACACACACACTCGCCCGTGCGCACACCCGCAGTCCAGGCCGGGCACACGTGCAAACAGCGTTTTTGTGCGCTCCTCTTCTCCCCGTGCGCTGGCAGCGCAAAAGGGGGAAGGGGAGGAGGATATTTTTAAATAAAAGAAAATCCTGTTCATCCCTCCTCCCCCCTCCTGGGAGCAGGACCCCCAGAGAAGGGAGGAGGAGTGCTGAGTGCGTGGAAGTAAGTTGAATCAACCCAAGTCCCCACCCACCCATCCGAAGGACCTCTTTTGGATTGCAAGGGGGAGGGGCTGTAGAAGAGGACGGGGGGGGGGGGGGCGACAAGGGGTCTGGAGGCGATGGTCAGCTTGTTTCACCTCCCTGGAGAAGCAGTTTGGTTGGTTTTACTTTTGTTTTATTGGGGGGTCAGGGTTAAACTTCCAAAAAGTATCTCCATAGAAATCTTGATATTACAAACTCTGGGAGAGCCAAGCGGACAAAATAAAGGATACTGAAAGAAGGGAAGAATTAAAAGCACAAGGGGGGTGGGGGACGTGAGACCTTGTGCGAGTCCTATTCCGGAAGGAATATTCCTCCGAATCTGTGCGCTCCCCCATTAACCCCTTGGGGTCAAACACGGGTCCCACCCCCCGGAGGTCTGGGCCTGCTGGAAGCTTGGGGGTCAGGGGACAGGAGTGTCCGCGTGGGAGAGGGACCCGCACCGGCTGACCCAGGAGTGGGCGTGGCCAGATCCCTTAAGATACTCGTCCGGGTGACCCCCCTGCGAATCATTGAAACCTGTGAGCAACGTGTCCCCTGCGCACACACTCCCCCCCCCCCCAAGTGTGCCTCCGCCCAGGGCAGGACTTGAAATCACCCGTCAGACTGGGAAGGACACAGCTGCCTTGTCAGCCGTTTGATCTCCAGCCGGCGAAGACAGGAGGAGTTGTGGGGGCCTGTCCGTGGCCTGGGGACAAGGCCAGCCCGCAGCCGCGTGGACATCTCCCCCACCCCGCGCCCCGTCCCTCCCCAGGCCGCAGCCAACTTCGTCTATTTGGTGACCTGCCTCCCTGGCTGGGCGCGCCACGCGCCGGACCCTCTCCCATCGCCGGGCTCCTCGGGTCTGGGCCCGGAGGCGGCCAGGGCGGGTCGGGGCCTGGCTCAGGGCTGGGCTTCGCCGGAGCCCAGCTGCACCCACCCCACCCCGCCCCCAGGCCGGGCTCCGGCGGCTGCACTCGAGCGAGTGGCTGGGCGGTGACGCCTCCGGGCGCGCCGCCTCCCTCGGGTCCTTTTCCTTGGGGGACACTTGGGAGTTTTTGCTCGCCCCCAAGGTCTTGGGTGGGGCGAAGGCACCAGCAACCAGAGCGCAGGAAGAACAGAAAAGAACTCCCTGGCCAAGCACCCCCCCCCCCCAAAATTTAGTAACAATAAAATGTGCCCTAGCACGCAATTTTGCGGACTGGGCTGCAGGGTCGGCGTCCGAGGGGGTGCGGACTGGGCAGGGGTCGGCATTCCCCCCACCTCGACTACACACGGCTGCCCACCACCCCCACCACCCCCACCACCCCGCTCCACGTGGTCCAAAGTCCAGAAGCACGGCTCCCTCTTTCCCACCGTGAAAATCTTTCCAGGAAAGTGGCCTAAGTAAGAAAAAAAAAAAAATGCTCAGACGCACCTTTAATAAAGTTGTTAAGAAAACCATAAACCGGCCACCCCAACCCGCCCAGACTCCCAAGTTCGGAGGGGCGGCCCCCTCCCCGGCTGAGAAGCGGCGCTGCCAAGTCCAGAAAGGGTGCGCGTGTAGCCCAAGGTCACACAGCGCCCGGGGCAGGTCCGGCTCCAAGCGCCGCGAGCCTGTCGCCCGCCGGCCCGGCGCCCAAGATGCCAGCCTGCGACCCGGGCCCGGGCGCTGATCGCCGGGGGGAGCCGGGCTGCGGTCGGGGCGGGCCCACAGCCCCGCCAGACAGGGGGCCCCGCCGCGCCCTGCGCGGGGCGCTCGGAACCCGGGCTCGGCGCGGGCGGCGGGGTCTGCGCCGGGGCACCCCTGCCCCACCCCGGGCAGGAAGTAGCGGGCAGGGGGCGGCGCGGGCCGCGACGGACCCGGGGAGCACTTCCTCATTGGCCCCGCGCTGCCCCGACGGCGGGAAGAGGGACGCGCGGGCGGGCCGGCGCAGGGCCGGACACGCCGCCACCCGCCGGCGCGCTCCACCTCGCGGCGGCCCGGGAGAGGCCGCCCTACCCCTGCCCCTGCCCAGCCCGGCTGGCCCCCTCGCCCTCTCCTCCTCCTCCTCCCCTTCCTCCTCCTCCTCCCCTTCCTCCTCCTCCTCCTCGCCCGAGAGGCGGCCGGGTGCAGGCAGGGAGCAATCCCAGCTGCCGCTCCAGTCTCCTTTTTTTCCCCTCTGCCCGTCTGGCACGGGCATCATTAGCGCTGAAAGCTGTTAATGTCTGGTCTCACAGCTCCCCCTTTAGTCTTGCTGCGCTCTCTGTCTCGCGTTCCACGCCGGATCAATAGCCGCTTCTCCCCGACCTTAACCTCTTGCTCGACCCCGCCTGGCTTTGGCAGCTGGCCCCCGGTAATATGTCCCCTCTCTTGATGCCCAGACAACGCGCAGGCGGTGTGGGAGCGGTGATGGAGCTTGGGCCCTACTCTTTCCTCAGGACCCTAGACAGGCGGGGTGTCCAGTACCCTTTTGAGAAGGTCACCAGGCCCCCCTGCACACGCTCCCACCCCACCCCACCCCTTGGTCTACCAGACCTTTGTAAAGAATAAAAGTCACTCCCATCCCCAAAAAGAGGAGAGGTGTGCATGTGCAAGTGCTTAACATAGGAAAATATAAAAAGTACAGTACAAATGTGCTCCGCAAGTATTATTTCAATACCCCAGACTCATTTCTGCAGGTAGACCTGCTGTAGGCCTACTGTGTGCCTGGCCAGGACTGGGGATTTATGCAGACTGAATCAGATGCAAAGAAATGCCATATTTTCTGCACTATCTCAAAGAAAGAAAAGAAAAAGAAAAGCAGCAGATGTCAAAAAGCTTTTTGAACTCACAAATATTTCCCTGCTCTTCTTTTTCTAGCCTTACAGTGCATTCCAGCAGATAATCCCCCATATTCTCAGTCACTTTAAATTTCTTTATAGAGGAGTAGCTCAGAAATCATAAATCATTTCATCAAATCAGAGTGCATTTTTATTAACCTCGTGTGGGGTTCTAATTCCCTGTGTGTGCTGCATGTAGCACTCCATGCAGTGGGGACAGATTAAATAGACACGTGACCCCCTAAACCAGGCTTCTTGTTTGAAATTCTTTGAATGATTCTCAATATTTAGCTCTTAGCTGAGGTGGGGCTCTATTAGAGATCCTACAATGTTATCTTTGCCTTCTGAACGGTTATATTTGATGTTATGTCTTTGCAAAAATCTGGAAAGAACCAAGATAAGTAGTGTCAATAGAAATGGGAACTCCCAATGTTTCTGCAGAAAAAAAATCCACATTTGTTGTGTGTGTCTGTGTTTTAAACAGGGATCCACCCCTCTAAAATGTAGTCAAATAACTTTGTAGCAATACAAAAACTGAGCAACACATCTTACCAAATTACTTTGGGCTTCATTTCTGGTGCTTAAGAAGAAAAGGAGAAAAAAAAAAAAACTCTGCAAAGAGGAGGCAAATCTTATACTCATGAGTGTAACACAAAACTCAGAAGCAAACTGCCTGCTTATTTCTATACCTCAGGATCTATAAACACCATTGACTGTGAAGATGAAGATAAACAAAATGCACCAATCTGATCAGTGGACTGATTTAATTTGGGGGAAAACTGTGA